GAGTGGGTGAAAAATGGTGAAGAATTGAGACTCACTCGGGCCTGTTGCCGACGTCACAGATGATGAGGTGGGCGTCAGGGTGTCTCGTGAAGACCTTGTCAATGGTGGGGAAGGCTTAAGGGAATGGTGGGGAAGTAATTATTATTATTTAATGAGATAGCAAAGTGGTTAAAGCGTCAATCAACCGACCAACCGACAAGCCACCAACCAACCAACCCAACTACCAACCCAACTACCAACCAGCCAACAAGCCAAACAGCCAGCCAACAAACCAACCAACCGACCAACTAACCGACCGAGCAACCAACTTACTTACCGACCTATCAAACTACTAACCAACCAACCAGCCTACCAACCAACCAACCAACCAATCAACCAACCAATCAACTAACTTTGATTACAATCGCTGCACCAGCTACATCCATTTTCATTCTTGGATCCAGTGTAGAGGATGAAAAGTTTCGGTATGTTTTTGTACTTCTCGGTGTACTTCAGCAGTTCGTCATAGCCCACAGCCAGATGCTTATTCTTACCAGCGGACATTTTTCTCTGGATATTAATTTTTTTATTTAATTTTAATATAATTTACTTTTAATTTTGTTATTTAAAGATTTGTAAGCGCAAGTTAAAATTTTTTTTTTTTTATAAATTTGAAAAATTTGTTTCAATCTTTTTGAATAAATCGACATATCTTATCAGCTCATGAAAATGATTGATATATATATATACAATCATAACAATTAGATCAAGGATCTAATGAGAGAGGAGAAAGAGAGAAAGAGAGAGAGAGAGAGAGAGAGAGAAAAAGAAAGAAAGAAATATGACATTTATTTTAAATAATCATTAAAATATAAACACATCAGTAACTCCGAAGCTCAAAGGTTTAATTCAATGTAGCATGTTGCTATTATTCTTGTTATTAGCATCTGATCAGCATTATCATATTAATCATCATCATTGTTATTATTAATAACACTTAATTGATTAATCAATTAATTAGTTAATTAATAAATTAATTAGAATGAAATGTGTTTTTTTACTTGATGTGGTTTCCCACTCATTTTGAATGTGGGTGATGTGGTTGTGTGTTGTATTGTATGTTTTGTATTGTATTGTATGTTTTGTACTGTATGTTTTGTATTTGAAGGATTAGATTAGATTAGCTGGTTTATATTGAAACTTTAAAAATTTGAAGATCAAATTGGGTAATTTTAATACAATTCATGATTATAAATTTATATTAATATCCCAACAACTATTTGCAAACTGAAAGTCATTTTTTAAAGATTTTATTTTTTTCCTAATTTTTTGGAATTTTATTTAAATTTAAAAAAAAACTTTTTATTTACAAACAAACGTTTTGTTTGTTTGTTTGTTTTCTTGCCCTGATAACCAAACCAATAAAAAACGTAAGCAAGACAATTAAATCAATCAATTAATTTATAAATTAATTTATTGAATAATTATGTGATTAATTAAATTTTAATTTACCCTCACAAAATCTTCTGAATTCTTCAGGAAAACAGCTGACACCTGATCATATGATGAGCCTTTTTAAAAGCAAATTGAAGTTTATAAAAATTAAAATCATCATTTAAATAAACTTTTACGTCAAATTAGTGGCAAAACCGGAGATCCGTCATGAATGTTGGGCATTTAAATAACCCCCAACTAACTCTATCCTAATTTTTTATATTGATGAGGATAGTATTTCGTTTAAAAATTAAATAATTAATTAATTAAATGGCCATAAAATGTTATTTTTAATGTTAACGAAAGTTTTAACAAAATATATACTACACTTTTCAAATTATTATACACTAATTATGAAATAACGTTTTTGACTGATATATTTGTCTTATTTTTGAAGATTTTAATCAAAAAAGCTTATTTAGTAATCAATAACTTAAGTTTACTTTTACACTAAACTAAAGGTAAAATCAGTGTAAACGTTGCATTGATTGACTTTTAAATATTTTTCTAAACCAAATCGCCGAGAAATGTCACTAAAAAAATATGACAAGCGAATTTTGTTAACTGGTGGGGCCGGATTTATGTTAGTTGTTAAATATCAATTTTCATTCATGGTTGAGTTTGCTTTAATTTCATCACATTTCATCACCAGGTGTAATTATCAATGTACTGTCTTTACTTTTACTACTTTATTACTTCAACATTACTTTTTACTACTTTACTTAATTATTATTATTATAATTAATATTAATAAATATTATTTATGATGTTTTATTTTAGTGGGTCACACATGGTCATTCACCTGGTCAACAAATACCCTAACTACCTCGTCATAAATTTAGATAAAGTCAGTAAAAATACTAGATTAATAATTTATTCAAAGGTTATTAATAATTTATAAAAGTACACATAATTTTCAAAATTATTGGCTAATAAAATATTTTTTAATGTTTTTTTTTTCGTTTGTTTGCTTATTTATTATTTCAAATTAGTTTTATTAATTTTTAAAAATTTTTGCATTTGAAGTTAGATTATTGTGCGAGTCTGAAGAATTTAGAATGCATCAAAGAGAAGCCGAACTATAAATTCATCCAAGTCTATTTATTAATTATTTTCTATTAACCATATTAAGCTTAATTTTTGACCATTTCCTACATCAGGGCGACATCTGTGAGCCAGATTTTATGAGGTACATACTGCAAGAGGAAGCCATTGATACTGTCCTCCATTTTGCCGCTCAATCTCATGTAGGTGAGATTTCAGGAAATTTTAACCATTATTAAACGTTTTTTCTTTCTGTTCCTTTCTTTTTTTCTGTCTCTCTCTTTCTCTCTCTCTTTATCTCTTTCTTTCTTCATTTTTGACTGACCATCGACCACCATAGACCAATCATTTTGGAGTTCTTTGGACTTCACCCGAACAAATGTCTACGGCACTCATGTCCTGGTGAATGCATCGTACGAAGCTAAAGTCAAAAGGTTCATTCACATCAGTACGGATGAGGTCTACGGAGGAAGTAGTGAATGTGTCAGGGGTTTTTCATTCTTTCATTCATTCATTTATTTATTTATTCATTTGCTCACTCATTTACTTATTCACTCACTCAATTAATTTCTCAACTTATTGATCTCATTAATTTCACTTTTTGTTATTTTTAATTATATTTTTTTGACAGACGAATACAGAATCCTCAAAAATGAAGCCAACCAATCCGTATGCAGCTACGAAGGCGTCTGCCGAGTTTATGGTCCAATCATATTTTGAGTGTTTCAAATTCCCGGCCATCATCACGAGGTCCAATAATATCTATGGTCCCCACAAATACCCTGAAAATGTTGGTGGAGTTTTCAGTTTTTGGTTTGCCCATTTGTTTATTTGTTTACTCGTTCATTCATTCATTCATTCATTCATTCGTTCGTTCGTTCGTTCATTCGTTTGTTCAATCATTCATCCACACATTTATTCATTCATTCATTCGTTAATTCGCTCTTACTTTCACTCTGATATGAAAGACAATAACCCGGGATTCATTGGTATTTGATGTTAAATCACAATCAATTTATTTTCTCTTTCTCTCTTTCTTCTTTCTTTCACTATTTTTTTCTCTATTTTTAATTCTTTTTTTTCTTTTTCTCTCCTTCTCTACTCTTTTTTTTCTCTTTCTTCCCTTCCTAGTTTCATTGATCTCTCACTCTCTCTCTCTTTTCCATTCTCATCAAGGTCATTCCAAAGTTCATCTGCCTGCTGAAGAACGGCAAGAAATGTTTCATCCACGGCGACGGCAGCTCCGTGCGCAACTTCCTTTACGTTTCCGACGTCATAGCCGCTTATGATGTCATACTGCACAGGGGTGTGCCGGGCGAGATTTACAACGTCGGGTCGGACTTTGCCATCTCCGTCATGAAGTTGGCTGAATATCTCGTTAAAAAGGTTTGCAAATGACGTACACACACAGACACTCTCTCGCTCCATCACTCACTCACGCACTCACTCACTCACTAACTAACTCGCTCACACATTCGCTCACTCACATTCACTCACTCATTCACTCACTCACCCTTTCACTCACTCACTCACTCACTCATTCACGCACTCACTCACTCACTCACTAACTCACTCACTCTCTCACACTCACATTCACTCTCTCAGATGAAAGGGTCAACGGAAAATGTCCTAGACCACGTGGAGTTCGTGGATGACCGCCCCTTCAATGACCACAGGTACAGCATGGACTCCACGAAGATGCATGCCCTCGGCTGGCGGCCGATGGTCACGTGGGAAGAGGGGATCAGTGGGACCAGTTAGTAAGAAATAGTTTTCTTTCTGTTTTTCAGTGTTAGTAATTTTTCACTGTAGTATTTTCGCGCGTTTGAACTCGGTCACTTCATTATGCAACTTGACCTTTATGTCAGTCAAAACAGAATAATTTATTATTATTATTGTTGTTACTACCATCACTGTTATATTACTTATTATTATTATTTTATAGTTATTTCGTTTAAATCTTTTTAATCGCGAAACCGTTCCACCAATCAGTAGCTTGGTATAGGGAGAACTTCAACAATTGGTCGTACGCTGAAGACGCCCTGAGACCCTTCCCACGAGGGTCAAACACCATGCAATTGGGTCACACCTCCTCATTGGCTAAGAGCTTCTGACTTGGCCTACATATGACCTTTTGACCTTTATATGTGTGCGTCTGTCTATGCCTGCGTTCATGTGTTTGTGAGGATGTGTTTAACCCTACCCTATGCAATTTGGTCACACATTATTGAAACATTATTGTTGGCTGACGTTTTATACCTTATGTGTTTGTTTGTTTGTGTGTGTGTTGTTGTGTGTGTTTGTTTCAAAACATTGCTTGATTATAATTTTAAACAAACATGTTCAAGTGCTATGGTTTTATTTCTTAATTCGGGTTGTACTTTTTTCTTCGTCCCAGCTTCTAAGTTATTTTCTAACGGTAATTCATATACATATATATATATATATATATATATATATACATATATATATATATATATAAACACATATATAATGATATTTATTATTTATTTGTTAGATATGTAATTATATGCTAGCTGGTCATAATCATTGTCATATTAAAAATAATTATTTAGCAATATTTAGTAAAATGTTTCTAAAGTTATTTTTGTTGTTTCTAAGGAGGTTTTTTCAGATTTTGCGTGGTTTCTGGCTCAAAAACTGAATCTTTACGGTGAATATATACGTTGCTGAGCGCCACACTAAGATGTGAAAACTGAACCTGAGAAGAGCAAACAATTCTGAGAATGATAGAAGAAAAGTAGGAAAGGGAAAGAAAAAAAGAGAGAGAGAAGGTGAGAAAACTAAAATATAATGTGAGAACTGTGAAAGAGAGAGAAGGGTAGAGAGTGAGAGAGTGATATAAAATGAGAGAAACTGAAGGAAAGACAGAAAAATAACACGATTAAAGGTTGAAGAGAGAGTTTAAAATAGTAAAGAGAGATAAAAAGAAAGAACAGATTAGGAAGAAGAGAAAAAAGAAAGAAGGAGAAAGAAAAAAAAGAGAGAGAGAAAGGAAGAAAGAGAGAGTTAGTAAGATGAGGTCACATGATGGATGGATAGACACATGTCATTCATTCCGTTTCCGGCTATTATGAAGGGGGAAGAGGTTTATTTTTATATTAATGTAATGCATGCAGTTTTCTCTGATTCTTTTTTATTTATTAATTTTTGTCTTTTTATCATTGGTTCAGTTCGTGTTGTTGTGTGTGGAGTGATTTGTTCATCGTCCAAGTAAAACCGTATTTATGAAAATTATCATCAATGAACGAACGAACGAACGAACGAATGGATGAGATATGAAACAGTTTTTTAAAATGGAAGAACGAAAAAACGACCGAATGAATGATTGATTGAATTAATGAGTGAATTATTGAATTAATGAATGAATGAATGAAAAAATAATATTTATTTAACCGACGTTAATATCCGATTTTGTTGAAATAATTGGTTTGCACTGCATTAGGAGAACATTAGTTGACATCATCACCATCACCCTCATTATCATCACCATCATCATCTGTTTTCTTTGTTTTTGTCAATCACTTGTAGATAACTTTCTGTTTTTCGTTTTTTTTCATTGTTTTCAACTCTCTCTCTCTCTCTCTCTCTCTCTCTCTCTCTCTTTTACTCTCTCTCTCTCTCTCCCTCTCTTTTTCTTTTTATTACTCTTTTTTTATTTCACTGTTTTCCTCTTCTTTTTTCTTTCTTTCTATCTCTTCATTTCTTGATTTTTTAAATTTTATATAAAATACGATATCTTTGAGGACTACCTTTGCATGTCGGAAAGCATTTACAGTTTTACTTTCTCTATCTTTCTCTCTTTTTTTTCTTTCTCTTTCTCGCTCTCTCTCTCTCTCTTTCCTTCTTTTTGTGTGTGTGTGTGTGTGTGTGTGTGCGCGTGAGTGTGCACCATCTTCAGGCGGGGTGAATATAATTAATGATCACACAAATTATTCATGCGAATTCGAAATGTTATAAATACAAATTTTGTTGCAAGTTGTTACGTAACACACACACACGTACACACACACACGCACGCACACACGCGGTTTTTTGCTCGCGTTTAGGTGTGTGTATCTGTCGGTTTATTGTATAAGTTTGTTTGCTTGATTGTATATATATAGATACTAAATATATGTGTGAACGTGTGTGTGCGTGTGTGTGCGCGCGTGCGTGAACCAAATGATGATGATAAATAATGTGGGCGGAGCTTAGAAAGATGTCATCAAGCGAGATGAAGGTAGGGAGGCTAAGGATGTTTGTCTCGTTTCGTATCGTTTCGTATCGATTCGATTTTTCGAGTAGAGTTTGTTAAGTGATTTAACATTTCTTAGTTCAAAGCGTTTGTTTAAAAATAAAAAATAATAATAATGTTACTCGCGTCAAAAAATTGTTAAAATTTATCCAAAAATAATTGTAATGATAAATACCTTTAAAAGATTTGTAAAACATACACTCGCACACACACACACACGCACAAACATATAATCACACACATACAGATAACATTTATATAGTCTATATATGTATATATAAATATACGTTTGTGTGTGTGTGTATATAGGTGTGTTTGTGTGTGTGTGTGTGTGTATATTTAACTGTGTGTGTTTGATGTGTGTAATGTGTGGTGTGTGTGTGTCTGTGCGTTTGTATGGATGTGTGCGAGCGTATTTATAAACACAGATGAAATCAATTTTAGAAACACCGTTTTAAAGTAAAAATGAATTAACTTCCATAGCGATTGGAATAATGAAAGGATGTAGTAGTAGAGCGTTCATATACAAGTGGTTGTAAAGTGATAACAATGGTGATAGCCATGATACAAATTCTTTAGGGAAATGTCAAATGATGGTGATGATGATGACGATGATGATGATGATGATGACGATGATGATGACGATGATGATGATGATGACGATGATGAAATGAAAATAAAAATGTTGTCTGATGATGACGATAATGATAATGAAAATGATAGTAAACAGATGATCTGATAAGAATAATGGTCTATAGCAACAAAAATGATAAAAGATGATGATGATGATAATAATAATGATATAAAATTCAATAATGTTACCGTTATAAATGTTGTGCATATTTAAAAAGCTTTACAGATATTATTATTATTGTTGTTGTTGTTGTTATTATAATTATATTATTATTATTAAAACTTGTTATGAAGCGCTATTGTTGATAATGCTGTTGTTGTTGTTGCAGATGTTGTTGTTGTTGTTGATGATGATGTTGCTGTTGATGTTGTTGTTGTTGATGTTGTTGAACCACAGATTTATAGCTTGCGAATTAGTCGAAGACAACGATGATGATAATAGTTGCGTCGGTGGTGGTGATGATGACGATGACGACGACGATGATGATGATGATATTAATGATGAGGAAGAAGAAGTTGTTGATGATGATGTTAATATATTGTTAGTTGTCAGGATATTTGCATTGCCATCCGTATGCTGGTATGTCGGTATGTCTAGTGAATGAGCTGAAATATATGATGGTAGATGAATTTGTTGTTGTTGTTGTTGTTGTGTTGAGTAAAAAACTGTGTTGTTGTTGTTGATAATGTTGTTGTTGATATTGTTGTTGATGTTGTCAAAAATATCCAGTTGTTGTTGTGCTGGCGATGAAAAGAAACTATTATTGATGTTGTTGTTGTTGACGATGTTGTTGTTGAGGTTGTTGTGGAATGCGAAACCCGTTTCCGGTAGAATGAATTCTGGAACATTCCAAGAGTTGAGCATGGTCTCTGGCGACTGAAGCTTCATATTCTCTACGTCATCGTTGGCGTCATTAGCTTGGAAGTAATGTTGACCAAGCAAAAAATTTCTCTGTTGAGCTTGTTGCTGCAACATTTTTTGTTGCTGTGGGTAGAAATGAACGTTGAGTGGTAGCAGTGGCTTTGCGTCTTCATCGTCGTCGTCGTCATCATCATCTTCGTCGTCATCGTCATCATCATCTTGACTCATTGAGCTACTGAGCATGGGTTGATGTTGATAAAGAAGTTGTTGTTGCTGTTGTTGTTGTTGCGATAGTTGATAATTTTGTGCTAAATGTTGTTGTTGTTGTTGTTGTTGCTGTGGATCGAACATCATCAAAGGCGTTTGTTTCATTTTGATGTCATCCAACCAGAACTCACTTTTACACGAGAAGCTTAATTTGTTCAGCGATGAAGACGACGACGTTGTTGTTGTTGTTAGTGTTGTTGCTGTTGTGGTTGTTAATGTCTTTGTTGAGGCAGTTTGTTGCGAATGATTTTTGATGTTGTTGTGGTTGTTTGTGGTTGATGTTGCCTGATTGCCTGGCTGCTTGTTTATCTTTTTGTACTTGCTTCGCCGATTTTGAAACCAAATTTTTACCTTACAAACGGATGATTCAGTGAAAATGAATGAATGAATGAATAAATGAATGAATGAATAAATGAATGAATGAATAAATGAATGAATGAATGAATGAATGAATGAATGAATGAATGAATGAATGAATGAATGAATGAATGAATGAATGAATGAATGAATGAATGAATGAATGAATGAATGAATGAATGAATGAATGAATGAATGAATGAATGAATGAATGAATGAATGAATGAATGAATGAATGAATGAATGAACGAACGAACGAACGAACGAACGAACGAGTAAATAAATAAAATAGTGATAGAGTGAGAAAGTGATAAAGCATCATAACTTAACTGATAAAGCATCATAAAAAGGCATCAAATTTAGCATCACAGCTACATCACCACATCACCATCATCACCACATCTTCATAACCACCAGCACCACATCATCGCCACGGCAGCAGCAACAGTAGCGGCAGCAGAAGCGGCAACTACCAGCAGGTACCTGCGTTTGAGTTAGTCCCAGAGAGGCAGCCAATTCTGCCCTCTCTGGCAGGGCAAGATATTGAGTCCTCTGAAACCTTCTATTCAGTTGCTGAAGCTGCAGACTCGAGTATATTGTCCGCGGTTTTCGCATCTTTTTCTTACTATTAATTCTTATCCCATCTTGTTGTTGTTGTTGTTGTTGTTGCATTGATGTAGTTGATGAAGCTGCCGCAGCTGCCACTGCCGTTGTCGATGGCGGTTTGATTGTTGCGTTGTTGTTGGTACTGTTGTTGTTGATGGTGTTGTTGTTGTCTATGAAGGAACATAAGTCTGAATGGGGGATAAACGATTGAGTGAGTGAGTGGATTAGATGATAGATGATTAGATTATTTGGTGGATGGAAAGATGGACAAATAACAAAGGAACGAACGAACCAACAACAAGTGAATGAACCAGCAAGTGAACCAGAAAACGAGCGAAAGAATGAAGGAATGTTTAAATAAATGAACGAACATATGAATGATTTAACGAACAAATGAATGAATGATACTTCTTTTGCTACTACTACTACTACTACTACTACTACTACTACTACTACTACTACTACTACTACTACTACTACTACTACTACTACTTAATCATAAAATACAAACCGGATAGTTTGGGACCGCCAATGACAGGCAGATTATGTTGTTGCTGAAAGAACAGATTATTGTTGAAAAAATTGTTGTTGCTGTTGAGAAAACTGTTGCTGCTGTTGTTGCTGGTGTTGTTGAAAAATTGCGTAGATAGATAGTTGTAGTTGTTGTAGCTAGGTGGGGCAGGATGATGATGATGATGAAATGAGGTGGGACCGCCATTTTGATAGAATGGGGAATAGTTTGGGGAGAAAATTCTTTCTTGGGTCATTTGGTGCTGACTCGGGGCGATATAGTTGATTGGAGTTTTACTCAGAGCGTGTGAATCTTGTTGAAAAAAAATGTTGTTGTTGATGTTGTTGTTGTTGTTGATGTTGTTGTTGGTTGTGATGACTCCGTTTTGTGACGATTGTTCCAACAAAGTGTTGTTGAAAAACGATGGAGTTAGTTGCTGGTGCTGCTGATGTTGTTGTTGAAATAATGTTTGGTCTTTAAGGAAAAGTTTGTGTTGAATAAATTGCTGCTGTTGTTGTTGTTGTTGTGGCTGTTGCAGATCGAATTGTAGATTGAAGTTGTTGTTGTTGTTGGTTAGAGCGGAAAAAGTTGAAGTTACTGTTGTAGTTGCTGGTAAGATTGTTGCCACTTCCGGCGATGATGATGTTGAGGATGACGTCAGGTTTGTTGTGATTGTCGTTGTCGTCATAATTTTGAAATTATTGTTGAATAGTGTAACGGTCTTTTTGATTGTCGAGTCTGATGAGGCCATTGAGCAAGAGTTTTGCTGCTGTTGAAGCTGATGTTGTTGCTGCTGCTGTTGTTGCTGCTGTTGTTGAACCTGCTGTTGTTGCTGCTGATGTTGTTGTTGCTGCTGTTGAAGCTGCTGTTGTTGCTGCTGATGTTGTTGTATATGGTTCGCAACATTGAGAAAATCATTGCTGAGTTTAGTAGTACCGTTAGTGAGATGTTTTGTTGTTGATGTAGTTGACGTTGTTGTAGTTACTGCTGCTGCTGCTGCTACTGTAGTATTAGTGGTAGTTGTGGTGGTAGCTATAGCAGCCGTTGTAGCAACTGTTATAGTTTTGTGTTCCATCATGTTTCTTGTTTATTATAAGAAAAACTTCTGAGATATAATTTAAATGGAAAATTTTATGAATGAATGAATGAATGAATGAATGAATGAATGAACGAACGAATGAACGAACGAACAAACGAACGAACGAATGAATGAATGAATGAATGAATGAATGAATGAAAACAAAATCTCATTTTACGTTTTTTGAGTCTAAAAAGCATAATTTTTTTCCATACATATATCTAATTCATTTCAATACTCATCAAGAGTTTTAGATGTTGCATCATATAAGCATAATTGATTTAATAATGGATTAAACAGTTGGTCGTTTGACTAATTGATTGAAAAATTGATTGATTGAATGATTAATTTATTGAATGATTGTTTGTTTGATTGAAAGATTGATTGAATGAACAACACTATTCGGGTTTCAACATCGTAAACAAACACACACACATTCAAACACACATATGCACGCACACACACGCGCGCACACACACAAAACACAAATATTTTGTATCTATATTTATATATGCCTCTATCTACATGTAAGTAATCCTAAATTGTATCCAGAAATCCGAAAATATGTATGTATGTAAATGTGTATGTATACATGTATGTATGTGTATGTATGTATGTATGTATGTATATATGTAAATATGTATGTATGTATGTGTGTGTATATGTGTGTATGTATGTGTGTATATGTATGTATGTATGTGCTTACGTACATATACTAAGGAATCGATTTATTTCAAATCAACCAAAATTATCGCTATTAAATTGCAATCTTTTCTAGTTGAGCGCTAGAAAAATTTTAAATTAACTACATTCCCTTATATATTAACTACCGACCATCCCCAAAACATAGCTTACGTCAATTCGGCCGAGCGCGCTCTGATTGGTTGATGGGTTTGAGTAGGAGGGTCTTAAGAGTGGAATAGCCACGCCTATATAAATAAATGCTATAATTAGTGTTTGATGATATATGGATGTTACATCAATTATGGCCGCTCTTATTATGTTGTGTTGCTGAAGGTATGTGTGTGTGTGTTTGTGTCTCGTTGTGTGTGTGTGTTTGTGTGTGTCAGTGTGTACAAATATGTGTATGTGTGTGCTAGTTTAGTGTACGTATTTTGATGTATTAAAGTCTGTATATGTATGGATGTTTTTAGTTAAATGAAATAGTTTAAATACTTATAGGTGTGTATGTATGTATGTGTGTGTGTATTTGTGTATATGTGTGTGTGCGTGTGTGTGTGGGTTTATTAAGTGCTATTAACATTTATTGATTTATAAGGAGTGCGCTATATGATTTTAAAATGTTGAGATGTCAACAACAACACACACATACACGCACACGCACACACACGACGCACACACACGCGCAGAAATAAACACATTCACACACACATTTACACACACATCTACTTGAAGAACAAAATACAACAAAATTTTCTTCATTTCTTTATAGGTATATTATAAAGAGAAAGAAAGAGAAATATAGAGAGAGGGAAGAAAGAGAAAGAGAAAAAAGAGAGAGAGGAAGAGAGAGAGAGGAAGAACGATGTATATGTATAATGTGTATTAAACATACAAGAAAAAGCTAAGAGTGAAATCAGATGATAAAAATAACTAAGGAGTGAAATGGATGAAACGGTTGACCTGTTGGATACAAAATTGCGATATTTATTTGTTTTTTACTTATAGCTGTTCACGTGTGATTGAGTGAATGAATGAATTATCAAACGAATGAATGAGTGATTGAGTAAATGAATGAATTATCAAACGAATGAATGAGTGAGTGAGTGAATGAATGAATTATCAAACGAATGAATGAGTGAGTGAGTGAATGAAAGAATGATTGAATGGAAGAAAAATTAAGTAAATAATTGAAACGATGGATGAGTGTATAAATTAAAATAATGAATGAATAAATGGATGACGGAGTGAATGATTGGTTGAACAAATGAACGAACGAATGAACGAACGAAAGAGTGAATAAATGAATGAATGAAAGAGTGAGTGAATGAGTGAGCACGTGTAGATCTTAGGTAGACACGTGGCATTTCCGGTAAGATGGCGAGCGGAGAATTTTGAAGATGATGAAATAGTGGATGACGACGATGACGACGACGACGATGATGTTGCTATAGTTTTTGTAGTTGGTAGTGGCGATGAGGAAGCTGCTACTGCCACTACTTCTGCTGCTGCTGCTGTTGACGATGATGAATGATCTTTGAGACCAAAAAATCTTTCAAAAAACTGAAAATGAAAAAAAAATTGACGAAGATGATGATGATTATCGTGACAATGTCGATCATGATAATGATGATGGTGACGACGTTACTGTAGATGATGAAGATGAGGAGGAAGATGATGAAGATGATGGGAATGATAATTGAGCTCAAACAATTATGTATCATTATTTTTATGTACTGTTGAATGTATGTACCGGCCTACCTACCTAACCTATACGTATATGTAAATTCGTTTTTTTATCACTCGTTCTCTCACTTTCTCTTCTCTTCATTCTTCACTCCATCTTAGTTTTTCCTAATATAACTTCCTCGCTCTCTTTCTCTATTTTTTTCTCTCTTCTTTCAATCTCTTAATTCTTTTTTTTCATCTCTCTCTCTCTCTCTCTTTCTTTTTTTCTTTTTTCCTCTCTCCCTCTCTCTCTCTCACTCTCTATCTCTCATTCTCTGTTTCTCCATGTTTGATTGATTGGTTGATGTTCAATGATGATGGTAACGATGATGATGACGACAACGAAAAAGATGATAAAGACTATGATGAAGATGACGATGAAGATGACGATGAAGATGACGATGAAGATGACGATGAAGATGATGATGACGATGATGATGGCGATTGCCTAAAATGTACAACAGAAAAATGACCTCTTGAAGCTGCTGTTGATGATGTCATTGATGACGTCATTAATGTTGTTGTTGATGTTGTTGTTGATGTTGTTGTTGATGTTGCGATGTTGTGATGTTGTTGTTGTTGTTTTTACTTGTACTTAAAGTTTAATTTTTACACACACACACACACACATACACACACACACACACACACATATATATATATATATATATATATATATATATATATATTAATTGAATTATTGTTATTCAAATGTTTTGTGTTGTTGTCTGTATTTTTTGTTTCTGTTTTGTTGTTGTTGTTGTTGCCAATGTGACGTCACCGCGTTCTATTTTTGGTCAGTTTCTTGTCATTCATTATGACCGTTTAATACGAGTGTCTGTCTGTAATATTTTGTATGTTTGTGTGTATGTATGTGTGTGTGTGTGTTTGTTTTATGTATGTATGTATGTATGTATGTACGTGTTTGTGTGTTTGTGTATGTGTATGCATCTATGAATGCATAAATGTTTGTGCATGTGTGTGTATGTATGTACGTTTGTGTGTCAATGC